CAGACTGATGTAGCCTTTGTGGTAAATAAACAAACCACTGATGCAAAACATAACAGTTATGGAAAAGTATTTGAATTATTTCTTTCTGTACCTGTTACAGCCTGCAAATGTCAAGATAAAAATAGATTTCTATAGTAAACAGCTTGCACAACAAAATAGTTTTCGTCAAATAGTAAAATGGGTTTAAATATAACTGACCGGATAGATAACCTATATTGAATTCCAGGTTTAATAGAATTTGCTGTATCACTTATCCATCCAATATCTGGGTTTATTTCCTCCTCCAGGTTGCTAGCTGCCAAATGTCTGCCTTTTTGCTTTCAACTCCTCCCTGGAAGATTCCCCTTCACAAAAAAAAAAACAAATGCTACTCTGGTTATGTGAAATCACCTCAAGGTTGCAGTAGGTGTGAGAGTGAGGTATGGTTTAACAAATGTTAGCTCATCAAAGAGAAAAATACCATCCATCCATTTTCGTCCGCTTATCCGGGGCCGGGTCGCGGGGGCAGCAGCCTAAGCAGGGACTCCCAGACTTCCTTCACCCCAGACACGTCCTCCAGCTCCTCCGGGGGGACCCCGAGGTGTTCCCAGGCCAGCAGAGAGACATAGTCCCTCCAGCGTGTCCTGGGTCTTCCCCGGGGCCTCCTCCCGGCGGGACATGCCCGGAACACCTCCCGAGGGAGGCGCCCAGGAGGCATCCGGAACAGATGCCCGAGCCACCTCAACTGGCTCCTCACCCTACTCTAAGGGAGCGCCCAGCCACCCTGCGGAGGAAACTCATTTCGAGCGCTTGTATCCGCAATCTCGTCCTTTCGGTCACTACCCAGAGCTCATGACTATAGGTGAGAGTAGGAACGAAGACTAACCGGTAAATCGAGAGCTTCGCCTTTCGACTCAGCTCCCTCTTCACCACAACGGTCCGATACAGCGACCGCATCACTGCCGAAGCTGCACCGATCCGCTTGTCAATCTCACGTTCCGTCCTTCCCTCACTCGTGAACAAGACCCCGAGATACTTGAACTCCTCCACTTGAGGCAAAGACTCCCCACCCACCCGGAGAGGGCAAGCCACCTTTTTCCGGTCGAGAACCATGGCCTCAGACTTAGAAGAGCTGATCTTCATCCCAGCCGCTTCACACTCGGCTGCAAACCGCCCCAGTGCACATTGTAGGTCCTGGTTCGATGAAGCCAACAGAACAACATCGTCCGCAAACAGCAGAGATGAAATCCTGTGGTCCCCAAACCGGACCCCCTCCGGCCCCTGACTGCGCCTAGAAATTCTGTCCATAAATACAATGAACAGAACCGGTGACAAAGGGCAGCCCTGGCGGAGTCCAACATGCACCGGGAACAGGTCTGACTTACTGCCGGCAATGCGAACACAGCTCCTGCTCTGGTCATACAGGGACCGGACAGCCCTTAGCAAAGGGCCCCGGACCCCATACTCCTAGAGCACCCCCCACAGGACACCACGAGGGACACGGTCAAATGCCTTTTCCAGATCCAAAAAGCACATGTGGACTGGTTGGGCAAACTCCCATGAACCCTCGAGCACCCGATGGAGAGTGTAGAACTGGTCCAGTGTTCCACGGCCAGGACGAAAACCACACTGCTCTTCCTGGATCTGAGGTTCGACTATCGGCCGAATTCTCCTCTCCAGTACCCTGGCATAGACCTTACCGGGGAGGCTGAGGAGTGTGATCCCCCTATAGTTGGAACACACCCTCCGGTCCCCCTTCTTATACAGAGGGACCACCACCCCGGTTTGCCAGTCCAGAGGTACTGTCCCCGACTGCCACGCGATGTTGAAGAGGCGTGTCAGCCAAGACAGCCCCACAACATCCAGAGACTTAAGGTACTCAGGACGGATCTCATCCAACCCCGGAGCCTTGCCACCAAGGAGCTTGCCAACCACCTCAGTGACTTCAGCCAGGGTGATGGATGAGTCCGCCTCCGAGTCCCCAGCCTCGGCCTCCTCCTCGGAAGATGTGACGGTGGGATTGAGGAGATCATCAAAGTATTCCTTCCACCGCCGGACAACGTCCCCAGTCGAGGTCAGCAGCTCTCCCCCCGCACTGTAAACAGTGTTGGTGAAGAACTGCTTTCCCCTCCTGAGGCGCCGGACGGTTTGCCAGAATCTCTTTGAGGTCGTCCGATAGTCCTTCTCCATGGCCTCCCCGAACTCCTCCCAGCTCCGAGTTTTTGCCTCCGCGACCGCACGGGCTGCTGCACGCTTGGCCCGCCGGTACCCGTCAGCTGCCTCAGGAGTCCCCCGAGCCAGCAAGGCCCGATAGGACTCCTTCTTCAGCTTGACAGCATCCCTTACTTCCGGTGTCCACCACCGGGTTCTGGGGTTGCCGCCGCGACAGGCACCACAGACCTTACGCCCACAGCTCCGAGCAGCTGCATCGACAATAAAGGCCGAGAATGAAGCCCACTCGGACTCCATATCTCCGGCTTCCCCCGGAATCCGGGAGGACTTCTCCCGGATTCCGGGGGAGGCCGGAGATATGGTATGATATGGATAAGGTGCGAGTTGAAAGTCCCTCTGACAGAGGGCTCCGCCAGACGTTCCCAACAGACCCTCACTACACGCTTGGGTCTGCCAGGTCTTTCCGGCTATTGTACATCTCATTATTATTATCAAATTCTCACACATGCTGTTGTCTAGGTAACCAGGTTATATCACAGACGGCATTGTTGTAAAATTAAAAAGATTTTGTCATTTTAATAAAAAACAAAACAAAAAAAACCAAAAACTTTGTAGTCATGTCATCTGACCTCCGGCCGCGTGTCTTGGACACTCGGGTGAAGAGAGGGGCTGAGCTGTCAACTGATCACCACCTGGTTGTGAGTTGGGTTCTTGTATTCAAGTACACCTCCAGACTCCAGTTAACCCTTATATTGTGTTAGGGTCAAAATTGAACCGTTTTCAAGTTTAGGTATGTAAAAACTGCCATTTGCTTTTTTGTACCGGAATGAGGCTTCATCTAATCCTCAGACACAACTATTTTAACGCAACAAAATCAATTTTCACCATTTTAGTAAATTGTAAAGTAAAAAAAAAAAAAAAAAGTGACATCTGTGGTGTTACGGGTCAAAAATGACCCGGCAGAGAATAGTGGCTGTTTTATGCATCACTTACAAGCTGTAGGCTGCTCTGTGGATCAAATATGGCTCAGTGTGTCCCACAACACACACACACACACACACACACACACAAAGGTCGTCTTCACCCACGTGAACTCTTCTCTTTCTTGCAGCACATTGATACATTTTGAATCTAAAATAAACATTGTCATATATAAACAGGGTTTTAGTGAGATATTATCAGCTGTATTCTGTTGCAGCATCAGTTAACATGAGCAGGTTCACTGTTTATGAGGCGCTGGATCAGATTTTTGGTCATGACAGTGATTCTGAAGACAGAGAGGAAAGTGAAGCTGAGGAAGATGTATCTGAGGATGAGGATGAGGGCACAGACTGAATAAAAGAAGTGGACTAAGTGAGTGTGACGTCACCCACAGCGTTTGGCGCTGCTCAAATGAAGCTCACGGTTACAGGAGCGAATCTAGAGCCAGGTTATATGTTATGAATAGGATTTTTTGGACGGATAAAACAGCCAAAAAAAAAAAAATCAGGATCATGTGTCGCAGGTTAATACGTATATTTTAAGACCAAAATGACGAGGTTCACAGCAGCAGGTACAGAGAGAAGGACGACAAGATCCTAACATAAGTCAATTGGAGCCAGAGTCAGAAGGAGCCGGAAGAGCCTCCTGGAGAACTTTCTATTTGGAACGCGGTGGCTACTACAGCGTTAGTAGTTATGTCCATTCATATATACGTCTGTGGATGAGGATGAGGTTCAGTATGACTCTGAACAAGAGCACACATGTGGTGAGGAGAACCCAGATGTCACAAAGACTGAAAGAGACGTCTTCAAGTCAAGAAAAAGTGACAGTTCATGGTCACCAAGCCTCTTGACACCCAATATAATTATACTTATATAAATTTGATTTATATTATATGTATTATATATAAAATTATTATGATTATAGTATAATTATATAATATAATTACAAATTTTATCACTATAGGAAATATAATTAGTGAATTTAAGCAGTTTTTGTAATAAAAAACGAGTGGTATATTTTAAGATAAAAGGTCTGTGCAGCCAAAAATAAATAAATAAATAAAAATGTTTCCATGGACATGAACACATACTAAGTTAGTTATGAGGGGAAAAACAATATTGGATGATATGCAGTGTTTTTAAGTATTTTCAGGCTGAGTTAAATCACGGGTAGCTTTCTAACACAATACAAGGGTTAACATGTTTTTGTTTTAAATAGTTTTTTTGTTTTTTTTTAATCCCAAAGGCACTACAGAAATGGACTAATCAACAAATAATCACTGATGATTACTAAAAATAATATGCAGTTACAGCCCTAATCTAACAGAATATTTTGTCTAATCTTGATTTGCTTTTAATTTTAATCTTTTATCAAGTGCAAGATACTCACCAAGAGTGGAGTTGTGGCTGTGCTGTGCAAGTAGCTGAGAAGTCAAAAGTTGGTGTCTGAGTTGAAGTTGCTCCTCTATTTATTTAGTTTCTGCACATCTGCTCCATGAAACGCACCAATCACAGGCAGTTTGAAATGATGACACAAATACAGTGTGAGCTGCTCCTTTCTTAGGAATGTGGTGCCATCTATACAGGTATTTTCTGCTACTCTTTGGTCATTTATGTGTGATTTTTTTCTCAAACTCTATTTAAACAGATGCTAAATTACACATGAAAAGGAGAATACATATTTTTATTTTATTACATTATTACATTATTTTATGGTATTTTATATTTTATATGGGTTTACTTAACATTAGGGATGGGACTAGATCTCGTGCCAGGAGAGGATGGGGCTCACATGTTGAAAATGATCTCATGACATTTTTATTTCCATGTTTTTACATTTGTGTCATTCGTTTTTCTTCTGTCCAGTGTCTGTGCAGGAGAGTTTAGAGCGGAAGTTTGGGAAACAAGGAGGACCCATCCCCATCGTGCCCACCGCTGACTTCCAGGCTCGAGTCGCTGTAAGTGCACAAAGTTCAATCACACTTTTATAAGTTACACTGAAGGAACTGGAAAGTAAGTGCATCAATATGAATGTGCAGGAAAGAACTGATCAAGAGACAAAGCTGTTTAATTGATCTTTACTTGTTTTTTTTTTTTTTTTTAGGGTGCGTCAGAGAAGGACATTGTTCACTCAGGCTTGGCCTACACAATGGAGAGATCTGCTCGGGTTAGTATTTTATAATAATAGTTTCACTAATTAATATATCAACACATTTCAGTGCAAACATTTGAAGTTGTTGGGGAAGTACACAAACAAACACAATATTCAAATTCCACAAATGGACAGAAAAAATGTACAGTGCCCCTTTTAAAAGTGATACAAACGCAGCAGTTTGGCAGGTTTGATGATTTCACATTTAAATATAATTTATATCGTCTTGTCTTGTCTTGTCTTGAAATAAGAATCCAGATCTCTGTGGATCTTCATTAAATAAAGAACAAATAAAATGTAAATTTATGGTTTCAAATATTTGGACTTAGGCAGGCAGGTTAATTATTTGTTTTTTAGATATTTTTGTGCATGTTTAAGTTATGAAAAAGTAAAAATCTCCATGCTTGCTAAACTTTGACTAGAACCTGGTGAAAGTGAAGGAATGCAGTTAAATAATAAAAATATAAAACAATAAGAGTTGAATAATTAAACCATACAGAAGCAGTTAAACGTATTGGTGACATGTCCATAATGTCCACATGAGGGCGCCAGAGCATTTTGTTTCCATCCGTATATATACATATATAGATATATTAATATATACATATATATACCACAGACTGTATAAATTAAGTGGATTAAAGTGAGTGTGACGTCACCCACAGAGTTCAGTGTCGCTCAAATGAGGCTCGTGATGCTCATGGTTACAGGAGTGAAACTGGAGACAGGCTCTATATTATGAATGAGATTTTTTTGAAAGACAAAATTGTGAAAAAAAACCCACCAGGATCATATAGAGCGAGTTAGTATGAACATTTTAAGACTAAAATGGGAGCCACGATCAGCAGGAGCTGTAAGTATGAACTTCTTATTTGGAACGTGGAGGCTGTTTACATATAGATAGAGAGATAGATACACACACACACACACATATAAACAATTCACTAGCAAGGATCACCCCACAACAGTGGAATACGATAACGATATTTATTGACTGTGGATGATGTGGTGGCTGTGGGGAGATTCAGGGTGGGGGTATAATCTCCAATCCAAAATAGTCACCCATCTGAATCAGAACCCCCCTCCTTGAAGATGCCGTCTTTGGACTGAGGATGGACGAAAAACGCCGGTGGGAAAGAGGGGGTCGAGGGAGCTGGCACGGTGTTGTCGGGATGACTGTATAAATGGGGCTTCTGGATAATTGAAGGTGTGTTTGAGATAACATGTGTTTGGCTGGAGAGGAGATTGAGGCGTGCACACACACACACACACACACACACACACACACACACACACACACACACACACACACACCCCTACACACACAGACACACACACACACACACACACACACCCCTACACACACACACACACACACACACACACACACACACACACACACACACACACACACACACACACACACACACACACACACACACACACACCTACACACACACACACACACACACACACACACACACACACACACACACACACACACACACACACACACACACACACACACACACACACACACACACCACTGCCCTGTCCATATTTGTATAGATGTCCAACAGATTTTTTTCACATTGAGATCTGATGTGTTTTTAAAGTGTTCCTTTAATTTTTTTTATATATATAGATATATATAAATAAAAATTTAATGACTACTTAGACCACAACAAACACGGTTACAACAGACTTTATTTTAATAAAAATCTATTGTTATAGTTTTTGTTTTGACAGAAGTTGAGAATCACTGGTCATTTGTCTTCTTTCTCCTTCTTTTCTTCTTCCTTCTTCTCCTTTTCTTTCACCTCCTCCTCATTTTTTGCCTCCTCCTTCTCCTTGTCATCTGTAACTTTCATTTTCTGAAGTTTCTTCTCAACATCTTTCTGAGTTGCAGCTGATTTCATTTTCTCAAATTTGTCAGAAAACGATTTTAGGAAGCTTGATCCCAGAATCAAAAACTTCCCACTGGGGAACACCATGATGGTTCCATTGTCATGCCCAATGATTATTTTTTGCTGACCCAGTGGGCCGTTTTCTTCTTCCAATTGAGCCTCGGGGTAATTCTCCAGTATTGTATCTATCCAGGCCTCAGGCATTTCTGTATAAAAACCCATTCTCGGGTGTTTATTACTTTTTGTTTCATATTCAAAAAGGCAGTCTGGATTCTCCATCAGCTGTCTATCTTTGGCTTTCTCATAAGAGTAGTCAGATGCGACTTTTGAAAAATCAAACTATAAAAAGGGAGAAAAATTAGTGGTTGCTATTTTTTGTATTGTAGAATTATGAAGTTTATGCCTTACCTTCCTTGGATGTGGTGGAGGTGGTGGTGGAGGTGCTTGGGCCATGGCACTACATAAAATAAATGTAATTTATATGTTATATGTTAATATGTAAATTTATACTCTACATGCTCATCTGTAGTAACTTTGGAACTATTAATAGTGTCAATAGATTCTAACATATGCTGGTGTCTCGATAACCAGGTTATATCACAAAGATGTCCAAGTGAATGATGTATATTGTCATTTGAATTTAAAAGAAAGAAAGAAAGAAATTAAAAAACCTCCTGTATTCAAGTACGCCTCCAGACTCCAGTTGACATGTTTTTTTTTGTTTGTTTTTTAAATCCCTAAGGCACTACGGAAATAATCAACTAATCAAAGAAATGATCGCTGACAGTTACTAAAATAAGTAACTGGAGTTACAGCCCTAATCTAACAGAATATTTTGTCTAATCTTGATTTGCTTTTAATTTTAATCTTTTATCAAGTGCAAGATACTCACCAAGAGTGAAGCTGTGGCTGTGCTGTGCAAGTAGCTGAGAAGTCAAAAGTTGGTGTCTGAGTTGAAGTTGCTCCTCTATTTATTTAGTTTCTGAACATCTGCTCCATGAAACGCACCAATCACAGGCAGTTTGAAATGATGAAACACATGCAGTGTGAGCTGTTCCTTTCTTAGGAATGTGGTGCCATCTATACAGGTATTTTCTGTTACTCTTCAGTCATTTATGTGATTGAAACTGGTGTGAAGTTTTCTCAAACTCTATTTATACTGATGCTAAAATTACACATGAAAAAGAGAAAATTGCATCATTCATGTCCTGAATTTCCATTTCCATGTTTTTACATTTGTGGAAATTGTATCTTGTGCCGTCCTTACTAAGTAAATGTTTACAGTCAGTTGTAATTGTTTTCCTTCCTTTTTGAATGACCTCACATTTTAGATAAAAGAGAACGGAATAAAATAATGTGATTATGTTCAGAGCAACTTGACAACCTACATACTGAAAACAAATATAAAAATAAGAATTAACTTTAAATAATTCGTTTTTCTTCTGTTCAGTGTCTGTGCAGGAGAGTTTAGAGCGGAAGTTTAGGAAACAAGGAGGACCCATCCCCATCGTGCCCACCGCTGACTTCCAGGCTCGAGTCGCTGTACGTGCACAAAGTTCAATCACACTTTTATAAGTTCAACTGAAGGAACTAAAAAGTAAGTGCATCAATATGAATGTGCAGGAAAGAACTGGTTTCAATAATTGATTTTTCCTTGTTTTGTTTTTTTTTGTCAGAGAAGGACATTGTTCACTCAGGCTTGGCCTACACAATGGAGAGATCTGCTCGGGTTAGTATTTTATAATAATAGTTTCACTAATTAATATATCAACACATTTCAGTGCAAACATTTGAAGTTGTTGGGGAAGTACACAAACAAACACAATATTCAAATTCCACAAATGCAATTAAAGTGTAACATCCTAAAGTGTAACACGTGACTACTCGTTGGGGGATTCCTCCACCTGCTTGTGCTGTGGCAGAACCCTCCATCAGAAAAAATGTAGAGTGCCCCTTTTAAAAGATTATATAAAAACAGCAGTTTAGCAGGTTTGGTGATTTCACATTTAAATGTAATTCATTAAGTCTCGTCTTGTCTGGGGCCAGGACTCCTTTTGAAATAAGAATCCAAATCTCTGTGGAACTTTATTAAATAAAGAACAAATAAAATGTAACAGTTGAGTGAAAATGGTTCGCTTCTTTGACTCGATCTGGAGACATGACTGTTTTCCTTTTTATTCCTTTTAGCAAATCATGCGCACGGCCAGTAAGTACAACCTGGGCCTGGACCTGAGGACGGCTGCCTACGTCAACGCCATCGAGAAGGTCTTTAAAGGAAGTATTTTGTTGAAATTGGAAACTGTGTCTCAGATCACATGGCCCTGACCTGTGGGGTGCCTCAGGGGTCAATCCTGGGCCCCCTGTTGTTCAATCTCTACATGCTGCCATTAGGCCAGTTAATAAGCAGCAATAATGTGTCCTACCACAATTATGCAGATGACACTCAGATCTACGTCTCTCTGGCAGCAGGAGACTATGGACCAGTGGACTCACTTGGTCACTGCATCCAACAGATCAGTGTGTGGATGCAAAACAACTTTCTCCAGCTAAACTCTGACAAGACTGAAGTCATAGTGTTTGGTCCACAGAAACAAAGGGACAGTGTCAGCAGTCACCTCCAGTCTCTCTCTCTAAAACCTTCAAATCAGGCAAGAAATTTAGGGGTAATAATGGACTCAGACTTGAACTTTAACAGCCACATCAAATCAATAACATCTGCAGCCTTTTACCATCTAAAAAACATAGCAAAAATCAAAGGTTTACTGTCTAAAGCAGACTTGGAGAAACTTATCCATGCGTTTGTCTCCAGTAGGTTAGATACTGTAATGTTCTGCTCACTGGTCTCTCCAAACGAGCTGTGAGACGCTGCAGAACATCCAGAACGCTGCAGCTCGGGTCCTTACTCGAACTAGGAAGTACGAGCACATAAGTCCTGTGCTCAGGTCTCTGCACTGGCTTCCTGTGCCTCAGAGAATAGACTTTAAAACAGCTCTGCTTGAGTACAAGTCTCTCCATGGCCGAGCACCAAAGTACATCTGTGACATGTTAGTGTCATATGAACCATCTCGCACTCTGAGGACCTCAGGGACCGGCCTCCTGCTGGTGCCCAGAGTCACGACTAAACAAGGGGAGTCAGAGTTTCAGGTTCAATGCAGCTAAAACCTGGAACAGTCTTCCTGAACATGTGAGACAGACTCTTCTGTGACGCTGTTTAAATCCAGACTCAAAACATTTCTGTTTAACTGTGCATATAACTGAAAGGTTTTCATTCCGCACTCTTCTCTCCAATTTATGTCTCTCTTTTTTAATTTTAATCTTCATGATTATTTATGTTTTGATTTGTTTTTTATTATGATTTTAATGTATTTCTTATTCTGTAAAGCACTTTGAATTACTTTGTGTACGAATTGTGCTATACAAATAAACTTGCCTTGCCTTGCCTAAAGTGTACAATGAGGCTGCACTCACCTTCACATAGACCTGATCTGTCAGAACACGCCATTTGTAACCGTCCATTTCCTTCACAAAGTTGTTTATCAATAAATGACTGTATTTTTATTTTCATTGTTTTTCAAAACCAATAAAATATTAATATCTCTTTGAGTCAGTGGTCACTGTTATCAGACAAGTGGAAATTTTAAAGTTTTATATCTGAACATGCTCCTATCATTTTTCCATAATGTAAAACATATTAGACTATTACTATTTAACTAAGCCAGAGTTGAGTAAAACTGTAAAAGAGTTTTTCTGATTTTCAGAAATGACCTCAGTGCGTGTGATTAACCCTGAACAAGTCTTTGTTCATATGTATTCATGAACAGGTCTGTTTGTCTTTCCAAGAGTCCAATCTCATATTTTCTTAATTTAAGTCCACTCCCTTTTGATAGGAAAGCACATTGAAAGATGTAAGATTTTATGATGGGGTGTAGGCTTAAAGTGTTCATTGACTGGAAAAGGTCCTGCTATTTGAGTGTTATATGGGCTATACAACATTTGATAGACCTAATTTTACAATCCTCTTTAAAATTTCATTTAAAATTCATTTGCACTTCTATATCTACTCTTACATAATAGTATCACGATCTATGAAGTAACTATGTTCAGGAAAAATCTTTTCACTGTTTAAACTTCTTTTTGTAAATGCAATACGTAGCTTCACTAAGGAATGTTATTGAGAATACTTTTAAACCACCTGTCATTAGGCAATACAAACATTTATAGTCTACAGAGCTTATGCAATTTTCTTACTCCTTAATACAGTCCTTTGTTGAATGAGCCCAAACAAAACATACCTACAAAGATATAACCTCAAAACAAGCATTGTACTACTGTCAAACTTTCTATCTTACTAAACCAGCCTTAGCCTCTCTACAAACATAAGCTACAGGTCAGTCAAGGTGAGTGAACTTCAAACACTATTAAATCACAATTTTGTCCATTTAAGTTTTAAGATATTTTATTGGTTATTATAGTTTTATGTGATTACATATTTATTGCATAGATATTTAAACTCCTTCCTGATATTGTGATATAGTTTGAGAATGTCCAAATTAGGGCCTTGGACTCAAATGTTTCCCCTCTGGAACTTTTATTTATCTGTCCTCATTCTTCATTCAGGGTCACATTACTTGAACTAAAATAACAAATTTGGCAGCAATGGATTAAAACTGGTTTGAACTACTGTGTGCGGGGTTGGGGTTAGCATACGTTAGCGTGTCTGTTTTATATATATATCTATATATATATAGATAGATATATATAGATAGATAGATAGATAGATAGATAGATAGATAGATAGATAGATAGATAGATAGATAGATAGATAGATAGATAGATAGATAAATAAAAAAAATATGTGTTTCTCACCTTCCACAGTGGTTGGTCTCTCTCACCCTCATTCAGCTCGGGTCCTCTACCAGAGGCCTGGGAGCTTGAGAGTTCTGCGCAGTATCTTTGCTGTCCCCAGTACTGCACTTTTCTGAACTGAGATGTCCATTGCTCTTTCCAGTATCTGTTGTAGCCACTCTTCCAGTTTGGGCGTTACAGCCCCAAGTGCTCCGATCCGGCACCACTGATGCCTTTACTTTCCAGACTCTCTCCAGCTCCTCCTAAAGCCCCTGGTATTTCTCTAGTGTCTCGTGTTCCTTGTCCTTGATGTACTCAAGGAGCTTGGATGTTTCATCCTGGACAGTGGTTCGCACACTCAATAGTCCTCGGCCTCCTTCCTTCCGGCTTGCATACAGTCTCAGGATGCTGGATTTGGGATGGAACCCTCCATGCATGGTCAGGAGCTTTCATGTATTAACATCTGTGGTCTGTATCTCCTCCTTTGCCCAGCTTACAATTCCTGCAGGGTATCTGATCACTGGCAGGGTGTAGCTGTTGATTGCCTGCACCTTGTTCTTGCCATTGAACTGGCTTCTTAGGACTTGTCTCACTCTTTGCAGGTATTTGGCCGTAGCTGCTTTCCTTGTTGCCTCTTCGAGGTTGCCATTTGCTTGTGGGACACCAAGGTACTTGTAACTGTCCTCAACATCTGCTATTGTTCCTTCTGGGAGTGTGACCCCTTCTGCATGGACTACCTTCCCTCTCTTTGTCACCATCCTGCTACATTTCTCAAGCCCGAATGACATCCCAATGTGTGTGTCCCATCACACACACACGCACGTACACACACGCCTACACACTTTATTTTAGTTACAAAAAGATTATCCTTATATCATTCATATACTTCATATATGCATGTTAATCTGCAATATAGATTGCATTTTGTTTTTGACCAGGATCATAAATATTACTGTTGGGCCTTTGTCTGTTAAGCCTTTGTTAGCTCCTCATAGACAAATCATGCTAAATACAAACACTAGTTAAATTTGATTAAGCTGCACAGTCCCCCTTTTAAAAGTGATGTAAACACAGAAGTTTTGATCTGATTTTCAGAAATGATCTGGGTGCGTGTGATTAACCCTGAACAAGTCATTGTTCATATGTATTCATGAACAGGTCTGTTTGTCTTGGCCAACAGCCCAGTCTCATCTGTGGGACATATTTAATTTCACTCCCCTTTAAATGAAACGCACATTGAAAGGTGTAAGATTTTATGATGTGGTGTAGGGTATAACCAGTGTGTCCATTTACTGGAAAAGGTCCTGCTCATATTGTGACTGGTGGGACAGAACATTGTCCACCTCATTATTAAAACGCTGAGGTAACCTGGCTGCTATAGGGACATATCTGAAAATAAAAATACATATGTCAACTATCTCAGTGAGAAAAGTAAAAAGATCATGTATCTTTACATTCAGTTGCTCAAAAATCTTTTACAGCACCTTTAATTCACAATACAAGGTATTATCCCACTGGTCACAACTGTTACTGTTATCACTTTTGCCTATTATAACCTGTTACTATTTAACTATGAGCAAAAGTTAAGAAAAGTGTGAAAGAGTTTCTATCTGAACAAATATGTGTTAATACACATATTTAATACACACATCTTGGTCAAAAGTCCAGCTCTCATCTGTGGAGCATATTTGTGTGATTTAAAGGTTGTATGGAGGATTTTTTTTTTGTTTCAAGTTGTCAATGATAGCATTATAGAGATGCAGTAGCCTTGTAATTATGATGACCAAAAAAAAGAGAATAAAAATTCATCAACTCTGGACGTGGTGGGGCTAAACATTTGCCAATAGATAACGACACTGCCTCGTTATCTGTTAGCTGACAGGCTGTCAATCAATCTCCCTACGTTTCTAGCGTAACTGACTTGCCTGCGCGCCGCCGGTACGTGGTTTACGTACGCCTGTCACGCAGTCCACAGACACAAGACGCACAGACGCCGTTTACTCCACCAACGCAACAGTTCTTAGCGGCTTCTTTTGACCTATATCTTCCTCGCAGTTCGCACAAAGTTTGTTGCAGTGGCAGACAAGAATCCAGGAGCAGTTAGCCGCAAAAGAAAGTAGTTTTTGAGGTCGCTGAAAGAAGAAGACAAGGGGAAAAGCAGCAAAGCCAAACTAAGGTGATTCTTATAGATTCATTCCAGCGATGGCGCAACTGAAGCAGACGCAGGGTCTAAAGACTGACGCATTGGTCGCCAAATTACTCCTGGACAGGTCACTTCTGCTTATTATGAAAACGTACTTTATTTCCAAGAGCTAGTCAAACGTTTTTCAGGACACGAAAGCGATATCCTATGTCTGAAAACGTAATTTTCAAGGCAAAGAAAGAGTCCGCTTGCTGCTGCGTGTTGTAGCTAGTTCATTCGCACTGAATCTCCGCGCACCTTCTCTGCACCCCTTTCCTGCTCCTGTCCCCGCTGCCCGTTCCGCTCTTCCCCCTGCTCCTCACTTCTCCGGGCACGGAATCTCCGCGCACCGCTCCCCTCTCCTCTCTCCTCTCCTCTCTCCCTGCTCCACTCTTCTCCCTGCTCCTCACTTCTCGTCCGCGAACGAAATGTCCGCGCACCCGCTCCCCCCGCTCCTCACTTCTCCGCCTTGCCTAACCAACACTGTAGTTAGTTGTTTACAAGTCATGTGCAGCGCACCGGCTGTAGACAAACCTGTTTCTGGCGTAAAGAGGAGGCGGGAGGAGGGGTTTCTACGTAGGAGCTGTAGGGGAGGGGGGGTGGTTTCACGCATGCGCAACATTTGAAAAAGGACAAACAGTCGCTGGATTTCTCGTTCCTTGGAAAATCCTCTATACAACCTTTAAGTCCCGTCGCCTTTGGTTGGAATGCACATATTAATGTGAAGGCAATGAGGTACAAATGGATATAGATGGACTATAATGAATTTCATTCAGGAAAAAATAAAGTATTATCTGTCTATCTTGCTTTAATCAGCCAGGTTATGGAATTATTAAAGGGGCCAATAAGACAAAATGTCTTCAGGTTCTTTTACTTTGACTTTGATTATTTTAGTCTGATTATACTTTGAATTATTATCTCTTGAGTAGTTTATCATTTTCAGTTGTTTCTCTGGCCACCCGTGTCCACTTATTCATTTTGTACAAAAAGTCGAAACCTTGGTGGATTTGAACAAAACAATTTATTTTGTCCGGCACAGTTTATAAAATCAGGGAATCTGCTTTGAACTTAAATGTGTGTTTTTGTTCTGTATTTTGGGTGTGCGGTGTGTTTTTGTGTTAGAATAAGTTAAGTGTAGTGTGTACGTGATAAGGCAACATGCAGGCTTTACTTTCCATTGGCTTCAAAGTAAAACTGAGATGCTTCACAAGCTAACATCACCGTAAATATTAGGCCTATCTCCACTTGTCTAGACTAAATCAAGAATTGAATGGATTTGACCATTTTTCTTTCTCAATCATCCAAAATGATTTGCATTTGCACTTCTATATCTACTCTTACATAATAGTATTACGATCTATGAAGAAACTATGTTGAGGAAAAATCTTTTCACTTCTTTTTGTAAATGCAATACGTAGGTTCTCTAAGGAATGTTATTGAGAATACTTTTAAACCACCTGCCATTAGGCAAATCATTGTTCCTATGCAGGTTGCTATGTAACATGTAACACAGCTCTGTGTTTGAATGAGCCCAAACAAAACATACCTACAAAGATATAATCTGATAACCTTATAATAAGCATTGTACTACTGTCAAAACATTCCAACTTACTAAACCAGCCTTAGCCTCTCTACAAACATAAGCTACAGGTCAGTCGAGTTGACTGAACTTCAACCACTATTAAACCACAGTTTCGTCCATTAAGTTTAAAGTTATTTTATTGGCTGTTATAGTTTTAGGTGATTATATATTTATTGCATAGATATTTAGGCTCCTTCCTGATATTGTGATATGTGATATAGTTTGTTTAAGAATGTCCAAATTAAGGCCCTGAACCCAAATGCTCTGGAACTTTTTTTATTTGTCTGTCTTCTTTCAAAGTGAGGTGAAACTGAAGTACGTCGTAGGTCTATAGGTCACATTACTTGAATTAAAATAACTAATTTGGCAGCTGTGGAGTAAAACTGGTTTGAACTCCTGTGTGTGAGGTTGGGGTTTTTAGTGTTTGTTACAAGAAGCTAGTCAACATTTATAAAATCTGCACCATTCTGGTTTTACTCGATGGATATCACTTAGACTATTGGACAGAGATGGTTAATTATCAAAAAAAAAAAAAAAAAAAAAAAAAAAAAAAAAGTAAACTAAAAATACAGCTAACTAGGCCTACACATTTTATTTCAGTTACAAGATTATCTTTATATCATTCATATACTTCAAATATGCATGTTAATCTTTAATATATATAGTTTAATGCATTTTGTTTTTGGCAAGGATCATAAATATTACTGTTGGGCCTTTGTCAGTTAAGCCTTTGTTAGCTCCTCATAGACAAATCATGCTAAATACAAACACTAGTTAAATTTGATTAAGATGTTAGCATGTTAGCATATAGGCTAATCGTACATTGCTTTTAATATAGTTAGCTTTGTTATTCTGAATTAATATTTTTATTCAGAGGCATTAATATGAATTTTAGTCGCTTGATTATAAAAAGCATACAGAATTATCCTTCCCTTTAGCAGGGGGTTAGAGCTAGTAAATGCTACGCTAACGAGGCTATAGTCTGTGATGCTAACTGTACTATGTGGCTACTAATGCTATAAGATTTACTACTTACTTTACTACACATGCAGTTATCAGATATAATTCCTGTAGGCCTTAACATTCTTGCGATAAGTTTCTTTATGTCTACTTTAAGTTATAGGCTACATGCTTGCTAAACATTACTGGGCCCATATAATTAGTAGCGTAATTTTCTTCGCAAGTTATCATTAATTAGGCTAATTTGTGTTTTTCTGAATACAGTATCATTCTTAGTAGTTTTGTATAGTATTTTTATCACGCTCATTTAAATTAGATGTGAAATGTTTGCCTTAAGCCCTCAAATTTCCATCGAAGGGCCTGATTACGGGTATACAATTTTTGGTACAGAGATAAAGCTTCACAATACTTAACAATTGGCCTATTCTCAATCAAATTCCTTGTTATGGTAGCAAGTGAAGCATCTCAAAAGGTTCAGCGTGGTGGCGAATTACAACGGGATTACAACACAGTGACACGGGGAGAAAGCTACAAGCAAGAAAACTCGAGGACGTTTAAAGGCAAGAAAAATACATTGCTGCTAGTTGCGGCTGCTTCTGCTGGGCTTGTGACGATGTAATGTGGAGGTATTTAGAGGCAGAGGAGCGACCAAGAAAAGTCTGTTTTTTTGGAGATTTGGTTCCATAAAGTCACAAAAAATATGCTGAACATCTGGAGTCTGGTACAGCAAGGCAAGGGCACGGGCGAGGAGGGGGGTCCTGAGGTGGGTGGGCTAATATCCCTGTGGAGAAGAGCAGAGTGGCAATGGAATAAGTTAGCAAGGTTTCTAAAGATAAGTAGAAGAAACAAGTAAACATAAAAAAATATTCCTACTGACCATGTTTTCGCCATTTGAGTGATACCAACTCACCTTTATAAAGATCACCCTTTGTCCTGTCAATCATTATTTAAACTGTTTCTCCTTATGACCTCTTGTATAATCACGAATTTTGGACTTCCGGTCATCGCGCAATGCATACTGGGAAGGATTTTCCGAAAAAGTGAGCATCAAATCGCCATGTTTGATTTCCCAGTGGGATGCGTCTAATGACAAAGCCGATCTTTTCAAGTCTTTCGAACCATATCACTTTTGTTTCTGGTTCTGATATTGTCGTATTTTAGGTTTGGGATTCGGACATTGTAATAGTGTGATTGTTGGATCCTAACAGTGGAAAACAGCTCGAGAAATGGGCTTTGGATGTTTGTGTAGCAGAGCAGCATATTTGTACATGTACTTCAAGGTAGTTAAGTTGCCAACAACGCCACCTGGTAATGCCAGGACACAGTGTTTTTCCCCACCCACTATAGACACACAGGTTTGTTGACTGAATATGGCGTGAGACTTGAATATACTTTACATTGAATTTATTATCCATTTTTGCAAAGGGTTAATAACAAATATCCTCCACCAGTCCTGTGCGTTCATTGGGTCGCATGGCCTCGTTGCTTGGAGTTACCTTAGGACCATTATCACAGTCAATATTGCGCCTCGCAGTAGCTCTTCCCCCAAGACGAAGACTTCAGAGAGCGAGTCCTTTCACCAAGGGCCACGACCACGGAGAAAGAAAAGAGAAAGAAAAGGGGAGGCTTCCCGCCAGCAGGAGCCTAAATATAACATGTTACATTTAACGTACAATACACACGACAAAGAGGAACACAAAATAAACCATAGCAACATACCGTGTAGAATTCACCGCGGCACGCCACCCAAACACGCAGAGGACCGCCCAGCGCCGAGACACAAAAGCTAAAAACACAACCTGCGTTAACCTCACACGGCGTTACTGAGCCAGCAAGACGATTTCCCCACTTACCCCCACGATGCCCGCACACTCTCCGCAATTACTGCGCTGAACACCTTGCAACAGTAAACTTAGTGCGCCTAAACGTGGTCCACTCGGGGCCTCGCGTCTTGCGGCCATGACAGCTTGGCTCCGCCAGCGTGCAACGTCAGCGGTCGGCGTTCAGGATGGAGGGGCGAGCGTAGCGCATAGTGCCCCTTTTATAGGCGGGTTTGTGACCCATAAACCCGATACTATCACATTTGCAAACACCATAACTGCAAAAATTATTCAGATCTGTGTGACTACAAACCTCCATTCAAACTGTTTCCCTTCCCAACGGAATTGAAAAATAGTGAAAGGTGAAGGCGATGGGCAGTTCTGATCCAAAGGAAGGACAAAAAAGGAAACCTTTGGCTGCTTAAGAAATCATCCCGAGTTTGCAGCGAACATTTTGGATGTGGAGAGCCATGAATGTGCGATCCCGTTTGTTAAACAAGAGGTACAGAAGACAAACAGGCTGAGCTGGCACTTTCTTGTTCAACTGGATTTACAGCAACATGGTGCTTTTCGCTTTGGCGATGACTTTTTATATTTGTAACCAAGGTTGAGTGAGGGATCAGAATTTTGCTTTGAGGGCACTCCACATACAAAATGTTCGCTGCAAACTCAGGATGATTTCTTAGGCAGCCAAAGGGTTCCTTTTTTGTCCTTCCTGTGGATCAGTACTGCCCATCGCCTTCGCCTTTCACTATTCTTCAATTCCACTGGGGAGGGAAACAGTTTGAACAGAGGTTTGCAGTCACACACATCTGATTCCCTTTTGCAATGGAGTTTGCAAACTTCTGAAGCCCATTTCTCGAGCCGTTTTCCGCTGTTGGGACATCCAACAACCACACTATTACAATGTTTGAATCCCATAACTAAAATATGACAATATCAGAACCAGAAACAAAAGTGATATGGTTCAAAAGACTTGAAAAGATCGGCTTTGACAATAGACAAATCCCACTGGGAACTCAAACATGGAGGTTTGATGCTCACTTTTTCAGAAAATCCTTCCCAGTATTCATTGCGTGATGACCGGAAGTCTGAAATTCGTGATGCATGTATTGCTGAGATATTTTTGTATTGCTATATTTCTATGTTTTATTTTTACTTATATAATTATACTTTATTTGACACCAGTCTCTTACTATTTTTGCTACTTATTCTGAATTTGTTATTATAATTTATATTTTTGCTCTTTCTTATTATAATATATTGTGACTTTGGCTCAAAACAAATCCAGAAAGACACCTCTCTGTATTTTTTGTGTATTTTTTATACAGTGGGATATCAGTCAGGTCACCACATTCAGATTTGTTTATTTCCTTGACTTATGTGAAACAAAGGAGCTCATTGGTCGCTGATCATTTTGAACAAAATCAAATTAATCTCACCTCAGATTAACAGACTTTTCAGTCTTTTCTTTGGTACTGGTCAATCGGGGGATAGGTTAATGCTTAAAGTATCGACATCGGTATTGGAAATGAAATCATGCATCTATAGTATTGTGTATTCTGGATTCGAGGCAGCTCTTTATTCTAGGTTTGGAAGTGATAGAATGTTTTATAGCAATTGCCTTTTTCAGGTGGTATCGCTCAAAATCATTCTTCAAATAACCTAATACATACAGACAATTAAAACAATAAAAATACAAAACTTATATCCATTTATATCATTGCAGTCGCACCATGTTTGTCCAAGTATAATACTGACGGTTGCAATTAAATGTGTATGTATTTTTTGTCGTCTTACCTCTCCTCCTTGACCTCCCTGTTCCATTCCACCATATTCTCCCTGTAAAATAGACAAAAACAATATATGGTAAAACACAGATTACACAGACCATTTGTGCTTAAATTGGTTAATACTGTCAAATGCTGTTATAGGCTTCAGGCACCAAACATCATGCAGAGGGGGGAGAGTAGCGAAAAGGTTATTTCTAGTTATTTATTTATTAAACAGTAAATACAGACAAATTAATGAAAGTAACTTGTTATAGAGAAAATCATCTCCATTTGGGGTCTTGACACTGTTAATGGTAAAGTGGAGATGGCGAGGCTGAGGAGGTGGTTGTTTCTGCTGCTGCGGTGGAGATGAGAGGAGTTGGGGCTCTTTGCTGTAATGGCTGGATGAAGGAGGGGAGAGAGAATGCATCGATATGAACAACTTGAAAGCTGATGGGTTGAGAGGCAACGGTGTCTTCGTGTTTAAATGTCCACACACTATTGGTACTTTGTAGACTTGCAGCTGAAGCCCTGGGGGTGATGCTAACTGTAGGCTCTGCTCTGTCTGAGGCTTTATTAGACTTTAATCTGATCTTGAGCGCGGCACGGGACACATTTTGAAAGCTCATTGCGGGCGCGGGTGGTAGCGGGTCTGCACAATGCCGGAGTGGACAGGTGAGATGATAAACTGCAGCAAACTAAATATGAGTGTAAATCAAAATGTACAAATGATTAATGTTTGCCTATTATACGTAATTTGTGCTGGATATTGTACTTGGCATTAATAAAAACATTTTAAGCAGCGTAAACTTGTGGATATGGTCTAATCTCGCGCACATTTTAGACAATTCCTTCCACTTCTCTGAGGTTTGATAGAGCTCAAGAAAGCAAACGTCCCCATCTTGTGGGATTTGCAGGCAGGAGTGGAACAAAATATCACAAATCGCATCAGCCGGTTTCACTTTGTAGAAACATCTCACCTTGCAGCATTCGTTCGCTCGATGGTAGGTGGGTACTTTTTTTATTTAACCAATCCCTGCTATTTGGTTGTGACATATGTAACGGGCCTAACTGGTATATTAATCTTTTCCCAAATCCCGTAGGAAGAAGGGCAATAACGTCTTTCCCCTTGATAAAATTCACTAAACATTCTCTTTATTCCGGCTTTAAATCCTTGATCTCGGGAATGGTTGACAACACAAAATGTATGTCTCTTCGCTGATTAGCAGGTGCCTGGACTCGCACTTCCAGGTTTTTTGCGAAATAGTTTTTTGTGTATAGGTGAGTTTCATTGTCGACAAAAGCGCGCGTTGCATGCTGGGAATTATTTTGGTCGGCGGCAAGAAACACTAATTCAACATGATGGACGGAGCAAGAAAGCACATAAAGGGTATTGATCCCGGTTATTTATCCACTCTAACGGCAGAGGACCGAAGACAATTTGACCAGAAATTGGTCATAAGCATCGATGGAGCCAAATCACCCTTTTCAACCCCTACAAAAGGTGAACGAAACCAAATTTCTGGTCGGAATCACCAACTACCTGGCTAAATATTCACTTCGGCGATATCCACAATGACTTGGTGGAAACTCCTGGGCCATTCACAGCAGAAAAGATGAAAACCTCCAAGAGTCTCGATGCGTTGTTGAACTTGTTGGAGTCCACGGTTTGCTAGGATCTTCTACGTTTGCTCTGCAGATGTTTGAAAGCCGTTTAATTCGCCGTTAGCGGTTCTTTTCACTCAGAATACGAAAAAGACATCTTCCTTCTTCCGTGCTTCTATTTGTGCATCCGATAATGCTGCAGGAATTTACCATTATCGGGGATAAATATGCGAGGTTACGCACTGTGTTTGACCGCTATCGTGTTTCTTGCCTCCTACCAAAATATTTCCCAGCATGCAACGCGGGCTTTTAATAACAATGACGTCAGCTGAAACTCGCCTATTCTGATTCTTGACCTAGTCGCTGGAGAGAAATTAAATTAAGAGGAGGCACTAGTCACAAACTAGCATTAGCTAAAAGGTTTTAATTTTTGGCTGAAAATCAAACACTGCTCAACACAGACAGGATGACCATGAACACTCGTATTGATCATAGGCTCTAGAAAAGGTGTTGTTTGAATCAATTTTGTATTTTTTCTTGAGTTTTCAGAGAATCCCAAGTTTGTGTTTGTTAATGCGCGTACTGTGTTTCCGTGGTAACTGATGAACATTTCGGCATATACATACAAGTAGAACACCCCCAGCATGATGTCGCTGCAAAGTATCAATATTGTGACAGCCCACTATTTAATTGTGAGACTTTTGACGATACGATATCACAGTATTCTGATTATTGTCCCTTATAGACACTACCTAGCTAATAAAAGGTGCACTATGTAACTTTTCTGGGTACAGCTTTTCCTTAAATATTTCACAGATTGGCATTAAATGTATCCATATTGCATTTATTCAATTACAGGTATTTTAAATGCTCAAAATACCTTGAAAAACATGCATTCTTACTGTGAGCAGGGACGCTTCTCCAGAGACCTGACCTGTAACCTGATGGTGTCAGATTAGAAGTTTAATGCCATACTGTGGAACGTACCAAGCAAAGCACTAACATCTCCTCAGAGACAAACAGGCAGCAGACCACTTCTTGAAAAGTTACATAATGCACCTTCAAGTGTTGTTTCATGTTTCTGGCAATATGATTTATTTAGAAAAGAGTTATGTCTTCAGTACGATCGATTATTCCCATATATATAATATTTTATTGTGAAAGGCCCAATCTAAATGTGTTCTAGTGCACTGTTCTTAAAAGACCTTTTTCACAATGGTCGAAAGTGCGACGTCACTCCTGGTTAATGCTTTTCTATGGCAAAATATCTGTGGAAATGTCTCGTGTATTTTCCACCAGCTTCATAAATCTGCTAGCCTGATTCATCAGCCAGTTTCACTTTGTGGAAACCGTCTGACCTCGCAGCATTAGGATTTGTTCACTCGATGGTAGGCCAGTACTTTTTTTATTTAACCAATCACTGCTTTTTGGTCATGACCTATGTCATGTGCTGCTAACGGGACTAACTGGTATATTAAGATTTTCCCAAATCCTGTAGGAAGAACGGCAATAACGTCTTTCCCCTTGATAAAATTCACCAAACATTCTCTTTGTTCCAGATATAAAATCCTCGATCTCGGGAATCATTGACAACACAGAATCTATAGCTCTGCCCGAACTCGCACTTCCGGGGTTCTTGCAAACCGTCTCGTGCAGACATGTCAAACTGAGGTCCAGGGACCAAATTTTGCCTGCGATATAATTATATTTATTTATATGTATTAAAGCTGCCCGCCAGCTACAAACAGGCTATAGAGACATTATTTATTTAAAATGTTGTTTTTATTTTATATTCTGCTTGTTCTGGATTCAATGTTTAAGCAAAACTATTATTAAACATTTATTTTAATAAGAAGAAGATTTAACATTACATATCTTAAAAGAAGAGAAAACATGGAGACGTTGTTGACATTTTTCAATAAATATTTAGTTTGGCCCACAACTTAGTACCAGTTTTTAATTTTGGCCTCTGTGAATTTGAGTTTGACACCCCTGGTTTAGTGTATTCTGATTCCTGACCTAGTCGCTGGAGAGAAATTAAATTGAGCAGAGGCAGTAGGTGACGCCAGCCTGGCTACAAATCTGCCCCATCACCAAATCTTCATCCAACAAGGTCGATAAAGAACATATTCTGCCCATGAAGAATTTATGCACAACTATCAAGGTAAGAAAGACGAAAACGTAAAGGCAAACAACGACGCATTAGTGAACTACTCCTGAGAAACACTAACATTATGGTCATGAATAAAACATAAGTAATAAGTAATTCATTAATTAAGTGACTTGTTAACTCAAACTGATGATAGAAAACAAGTTAAAAATCAATTTCATGATGTAAATATTAGATTTGTGCAGTTCGAACACTACAGATGTTCACAGATTACATGTCGAGCATTTAAACTGCACAAATCTCTCTGTCTATGCGAATATCTACATCATGAAATCAATTTTTTTATTTTAATTGTAGAATCAGTCTGAGTTAACAAGTTACTTATGTTTTATTCATGACCATAATGTTTTGCTCAGGAGTAGTTCACTAATGCGTCGTCGTTGTTTGCCTTTACGTTTTGGTCTTTCTTCCCTTATATTTGTGGATAAATTCTTCATGTTTTTCCTTTGTGGACCTTGTTGGAAGATGATTTGTTGATGGGGCAGATTTATGAAGCTGGTGGAAAATAGACGAGACATTTCCACAGATATTTTGCCATAGAAAAGCATTAACCGGAAGTGACGTTTACCCTACATCGCGACACTTACGGCTATTGTGAAAAAGCTCTAATAACTTACCTGATTAAATAAAAATGAACGCAGTGGTGTATTTCAAAATGAATTCAGATCATGCTGTCAGTTTGGCTACGGCAGTACCAGCTCTTACAGATTAGTCGCGTCGTTCACTGGAGCTTCACGGCATCAAACATTTAGATAGCGTGTTAGCGTGTTAGCATGTTTATTGTGCATTGGCCTACTTTAGCTTTAGCATCGTTAGCTTTAGCCCTCAAGACATATGTTCACTGGCACATGCTGTGAGTAACCTACTACATGTTCAACCTTAAAGCAAATATTAAACTTCTGTATCATTATTTTAAAATGTTAGTAGTTTTAGTAAAATGTGATTCACTTTAAATTTGAATAAAACTTTTGTGGTTAAACCTATGACTAATAATTTTTTTTTTTCTTATAAATGTATAACTCTGGACATATTTACATGTTACAAAACATATATTGTATTACTTTTTAAAATCAAGTCAGTGGTTCTCAACTCGGGGGTGGTGAGATCATTTCAGGGGTTGATCATGTGGGGAATTAAACTGAAAACTAGGCTCAGTAACTTTCTGAAGATGGCTCACCTACCGTATTTCCCGGGCTATTAGGCGCTCTGGATTATGTCGTTAAAGGGTCTATCTGCGAACTTTTTTCACAAATAAACCGCACTGGACTTTAAACGGAACACAACAGGTGGATGGGTCAGTGGGACTTTGTTTGTGGCGTTCACGGTGACTCTGGGCTTTGTTCAGTTGTGGCGTGTAGGGAGGGTGCTGTCTGGGACCGCTGGATTGTCGGCGTGTCCGCAGTGACTCAGTTGTTCAGTTGTGTCTAGAAGTGGCACATTGCGCTCGCTTTTTCGGTGATGATGTGCATGTTAACGCACTCAATTACATCTCCAGGGAGCCAGGGAGGGAAGCTGAAAACTCTCCACCAGAAAATGTACATAGTGCGCCTTTACACTGTCATTATAATTTACCTTTTAGGACATTTTAACTCTACTACAGTCCTGTACAGTGTAATTTAATGTATTTTTTTCTTTGCAGGTATGAAGCTTGTGCTGTCAGCTTTGGTCAATGGCAAAAACATCAACAATTTTCGGTTCGTTCCTCCGTTCCGTTCCTCGTCAGTGTGGAGTGATGAGTGTGTCTGTGGGTGTTTTTCGCTGTGCGGTCACTGTCTGCTCCGTGTGTGTTTGCGTGCGCTGTGGGTGGTGCAGCTTTGTAGTTTACTGAAGTCATGCTGGGACACCTGAGTGGATTCGTGCATAGGACGCTCTGGATTGCAGGGTGCGCGGTCATTTTTGGATGGGGTTAGAGGCTTAAGAGTGCGTCTAATAGCCCGGAAAATATGGTACATGACTCCATCAAAATAGAAAGTTAAAACCATACATTTGTACCTGTAATCTGTACATTTTCCATTGAGAAAAATATGTTTTTTTGCTACACGGTGAGAGATTTTAGCCAAATTAACAACATTCCCATGTAAACAATCAGGAAAAGGCCCTCCTCCAGGCCAAATAAGAGTCAGGTTTGTGGAGATGCGAGCCCTCTCAGAGCAATAAACAATCAAAATGAAAAAAACATGCTTTCTTCGCTAAAAATCACATCTTTAAATAAGGCATTTGACACACCTAAAATGCCACTTAAAGGTAGCTGCTTCTTCTTCTCTCAAACTGTGTTCCACCTTGTGATGTCATGTGGTAATTCAGGAAGTGCTCCACTGAGTTTTTAAACTCCATACACCTTCACTAGAATCATTTGGTTGATTTCAGACCTGTAATTGTCAATATTTACTGAAGAAAAGGTAAAAGCCGCTGTTAACTTGGAAACTACCACTGCATGACATCACAAGGTGGAACAGAGCATTTTGAGCTTTGAAGATGTACAGACTAATAATATAGGATTACTCAAACATGTGTGAATGAAACAAAACACAACTCCAGGTGTGTATTTGACAAGATAACAACATTATAGCATGGTTTAAATGTAATATCTTTAATCTACATTATTATTTTGTGTGTGTTTGTGTGTGTTTGGGAGTCACTATTGGAAAAGGTTGAGAACCACTGATGTAAAATACGAATAAACCTTTCTAAAAGTCTACACTTATCACATGCAGGCTAACCAAGTGTCATCCAAACTTTACAAAATAGAATGATGCTTTATAATCTTATTGTCTAAAGCCCATGCAAAACTCCCACAGACACCTCGTATACTGGCTCCTCCTATCAGGACAAAATGAGACACAAGAAAATGAAAAAGATGAGATTCACAACAGGAAACGATCTGCAAAACATATAAATTCAATTCATAATATTGTACACTGTGTTGAGTTTTGTTGTTATTGATTCATTGATCCATTTTTTACTTTTATAGATGTTAGATTATAGATTATTATTGTGCTGAATTTTGTTGTTTCACATCTTTAAAAAAAACCTTTATAGATGTTAGTTAGATTATTATTAGGAAATGGTCTGGAGAACAAATAATTTCACTTAATAATATTAGTTTTAATAGATTCATAGATGTTAGATTATAGATTATAGATTAAAATTAGGAAATGATCTGCAAAACATATCATTTCAATTCATAATATTGTACGTTTTGTTGAATTTTGTTGTTGTTTCATGTCTTTTTTACTTTTATAGGTGTTAGAGTATAGTTTATTATGAAGAAATGATCTGCAAAACAAATAATTTCACTTAATAATATTTGTTTAATAGATTAATAGATGTTATATTATAGATTATATCTTATTCTTAAGAAATGGTCTGCAAAACAAATAATTTCAATTCTTAATACTGTATGTTGTGTTGAGTTTTGTTGTTGTTTCATGTCTTTTATTTTTTGCTTTTATAGATATTAGATTATAGATTATTATTAGGAAATGGTCTGCAAAACATGTTTCCGTGCATAGTATTGTACGTTTTGTTGAGTTTTGTTGTTGTTGATTCATGTTTTTTTTTTTTTTTTTTACTTTTATAGATGTTAGATTATAGATTATTATGAGGAAATGGTCTGCAAAACAAATCATTTCAATTCATAGTATGGTAATTTTTGGTATGTTTTTGTTGTTGTTTTACTGTCTTTTCTAACAAATTTCTTTAATTAAGATAAGTTAGATCTACAAATTAAAAAACTAGTGAACACAACTCTCAAGTCAGTATAGTAATTTCAGTTTATTTATCTAATTTTGTACAAATTAAGAGAAAATTTCAGACCAACTGGAAATACTTAATATTTATATCATCATTATATCTAATTAATAAGTAATGTAGCTGGATTTTCAATAGACTAAACTGGCTTTTACAGTTTGAGTTACAGAGCTTGAGAACGAACGTCAAAGACTTTAAAGGTGCACTGAGAAACCTTTCTGGTGGATGGTCCGCTACTTGTCTCCATGGAGATGTTATTGCTTTGCCTGGAATGTTCCACAGTATGACATTAAACATTTCCATCTAACATTTATTCCATTGCGCAAAAAAAAAATTAAAATACAATTCCTTCTGTGAACAGGGGCGCCTCTCCACAGATCTGAACGGTGGAAGATTCTAGACAAAGCATTGACATTTCCGTGGAGACATCAGGCGGCGGACCCTCCACTAGAAATGTTACACAGTGCACCTTTAAATGACAGGCCAGAAATGACTTTAGAGATGAATTGACCAAAAAAAGCTGCTGGGTTGTTAATTTATTCACGACATTACTTATGAGTTTTGAGTATTTTTGAGTTTTGAGGACTGTTGACGACTGATATTTTGTATTAAATTGCTAATTGCTATGGTAACGGTCCTAACTTTTCATCATTCTGAAACCCATGGGTAGTGTCAGTATGGAAAACTTCTGAATGTACGCTAAGTTTAGTATTTTAACATTTCTCTATAGCTATATTATGAGTTTAAATCCTGAGTCACAGCCGTCCCGGGGCAGACTGACAGGACTGTGGCTGCCGTTCTGCAATATTTGTTGACTGATTTACCGAATACAGTAAATTATCGGCTCATTAGCAGTTTGATTGATGAATACATGATTTAAAGTGGTACCCGAACCTGGTTGATGAATCCGGCTGACGCGGCGACGTTCTCGACTCCCTCCACCGTTGCCTGGGAAACCTCGTTGGCCCCGGCAACCGTTGTGTCTGCGACGATGTTGGCCTGGTCCACAGTCTTGTTAGCCACTGCACCCCAAGATCAGACGAGAGTAGTGGATTAAAATGATGTTAAAAGGTCATAAATTATCTATCGTTTAGGCTTTAAAGGTCTTATATTATGCAAATTAGGCCAAACTGTTCCAGAAAGTGCACCTCCATGTTTTTACAGACGTTCACTAAACTCATTTTTAACAGATAATCCTGCGTCCTGTCAATCATCTCATCATTCCTGCTGAGATTTTATATTTTATTACTTATTTTTCTATTTTATTTTGACTTGTACATTTATATTTATATAATAATGTCTTATTTGACACCTGTCTCTTGCTTGTCTTTTTTGCTACTTATTTAGAATTTATCATTACCATTTATATGATGAGCTACTGCAGTGTTTCCCAAAAAAAAATTTCTGGGGACCCATATTTTAAAAGTCACAAAGAGGATATTTTATTGATGACTGAGTGATCGTGTCTCTCTGAACAATCAGTATTACTCAAGTTTTAAACAATGAAAAACAGTCACTGAAACAGCAATAAAAAGGATCCAAAAGTCGACGATTTGGACTTTAAATGTAGCTCATTTCTTTTTCTTTTCAGCATCAATTGAATCAGCAATACTGGAACAAAATTAAACTTATAACACAACGGACTCCAGGCACTCCAAAGAAGTAAAAATCGCATGAGGAAAAATATAGTTAAAAGGCCTTTATTTAAATGGACAAACCCAACATGTTTCAGCCAAACTGGTCTTCATCAGGGCTCAGTTTGGTCAAAACATGCTGGATTTGACCATCTAAATAAAGGCCTTTTAACTATATTTTTTCCTTGTGTGATTTTTACTTCTTTCAAGTGCCTGGAGTCCGTTGTGTTTTAAGTTTTGATCCTTTTTCCAAGAGCACCCTCTACCTGCTCCCACTGACTGGAACACCTGCAGCATACAAACACATTTTTGTTTTTTCAGTAAAAATTAAACTTACATTACTACATTAAACTTACAGACCTACATGCAGATCGTGACACGGGGACCCTAAAAAAATCTCTTACGACCCACCTGAGAGTCATGATGAAGTCTTTGGGAAACAGTGAGCTACTGTGTCCAAATAATTTCCCTTGTGGATCAATAAAGTTTGTCTAAGTCTAATTTGCTTAAAGTGAAACTAAACACTGAATCAACTTTGTTTGCTACTAAACGGTGTATGTGCTCCCTCTAGTCGCCACTGCAATTTCAAGTGCTACATGACATCACACAGCACTGCCATGAATACAGTCAGGTGTTTCTGATTTTAAACACCTGGATGAAGGGGCGGAGTTTAAAGTGTGGATACCTGTTTCGACCAATCACACTGTTCCTTATACCCCCCTCTCCTTTCAGCTCCCCTTTAAAGGGCCCATCTCATGCAAAATCAACTTTTCAGAGCTTTCTACCTTCTAAGAGTGATGTGTGGGCCTTGCATATGTCGCCGAAGTGTTTTTTAGATTGATTAAGTGTTTTTTTAACAAATTGCAGCATATTTCTGCCACCTTCCCACGTAACAACGAACTAAAGCTGCTACAACGATGACACGGCAGCTACACCTATGACGTGTTTGCCCACCAGTGTACACGATATAATAAGTTTATCTAATAGTGTTTATTAATACTTTACCAATCAGTAATGTTCAGCTGATGTCAACACTGTGCTTGTGCTTCGTGCACCTCAAAGTCCTCGTCCGATTCCGAGTCCAACACATGCGGCTGAACGCGCTGTATCACCATGATGAATAAAAGTTTATTCCTACCACTATCAGGGTGCACGTCTGTCTCCCCCTCCCTCCCTGAGATGGCGGAGGAAGGGTGGCTCACTCAGAGCCTACGTCACGTTTGAACGGCGGAGCCTGTGCTTTCTCAGGACGGGCGGGGGGATGAGCGATAGTCATTCATTCATAGTTCCTGGTCTGTGACTGTCTCCAAGAAATCTGTAAAATTTCATAACTATTGTGTAATGGATGTTCCAAAACCCAAATTGTGCTTGTTTATGTGCAGAAGATACCATGTGAAAAGAGTTATTTTGCATGAGATGGGCCCTTCGATCCTCCACATACTGTCCTAAAGTTTTTATTATAGCTTCAGGATAAGTTTTTATATTTATTAGCCATATTTAGCCAATATAAAAAGTGTAGTTATTGTATATTTTTACCTGTGTTTACTGATGCAGTCACTCCCTCCTTTGTCTTGTTGCCTGTGAGACAGAAAGCACAATTGTGAAAAATAAAATATACATACATATATATATACATGCTTAAAGATGCACTGTGTAACTTTTCTGATAAAGGGTATGTGTTTGTCTTCATAGAAGTTTTATATCTTTATTGCATTTTGGAGACAGGTGGACATCAGAAAAGTTACACAGTGCACCTTTAATATTGGCTTACAGACTTTAGAGAAGTTTGGGGACATTGCACTTTCAATCAATTATGCAGTTAATTCAGTAAAAAAAAAAAAAACTGTTTTAGTATAATAAACCAGTGCCAGCATTTCTATTTCAGAGCTATTTCTTTATTATTTAATGATGATTTTCTTTAATTACAGATGCAATTTTATTTCCGCTTCAGATCCTCATTGAATTAAGACTTGCCCCATTTTAGACCTGCTTTAGTCCGGTTTTGATCTCAGTCTGGTACTTGGAAAAGCTAAATATTAACAATGGGACAAGATCTCACAAGACAAAATTGACACAAGACGATGGAAAATGATCTGGTGAGATTTTTTCCTCATATTTTTACATTTGCTTTGGATAAAAAGGGGGTTAACTTTGCAGAGTAAGTCTTGAGAAGCTGTAATTCCAAAAAAAAAAAAAACAATGACACCAAACTTATAAAATAAAACAAACCAAACATCGTGAAGTCAAAATTGTGAATTAAAAATGACAGAATCTTGTCTTGTCTCGTTCTCGTGAGCCGAATCTTGTGTCATGTCTCGTCTTGTAGAAACTGTGTCTCGTCTCACTACGATTTGGTGTGAAAAGTTTCAGGACTGTTGCATTATGAGTGATTATTATGTAATACGGTGAAAGTGGTTTAGAGCAGATTTCTGATGATGCCTGAGTTATATAAGTGCAAAAGTGGGGCAGCTCCAGGATCTCAAATAATCACAACTTGTTTTCCTCCTTTCCACCAGCAGGGGGTGCAGTCTGTCAAAATATCAGTGTGGCTATCAGGGTCTGAGAGAGGTTGAGATGTCACAAAAGAACCGGAACATTACACCCACATATACCTGCCTCATCAGTACAATAACCGACAGAAAATACAACAATTACTTCATTAGAAAAGTTCTAACAGAAGAAATGTTCCCTGGTTTGCAAAATAAAAATGATATACATTATACATTTGATAAAAAAGCCATAACAAAACTGAGAACAAGGTACTTGGCCTTTTCTGTCGCTCCTAAAGTAAAGGAAACACATTACAAAATCATGAATAACATATACCCATCCAAAGAATTACTTCAATTGTGCTTTAAAATTCAAGAGAACATTTGTATATTTTTGTGAAAAGGAGATTGAAAGCACCGATCATCTTTTTGTTGATCATGTTATAATTTTTGGTCTACTACTACAAAATAAAAAAGAAGAACTCTGTGTAAACTTAATATTATGTCTTGCCAAATTTTACATCCACAAATGTAAAATTCAGAAATGTCTCCCTAACTTTACTTGTTTTAAAAAATGAACTCAAATTATATATAAATCTCTGAAATATATGAATGGACCTAAACCTCAAAAAGTGTACTCCTATGTTTGTGAAATTCCCCTGGACTTTATGAACTCAGGCTGAATGAACTCTATTCCCCTTATTATTATCCTTTTCTCTTCCTAAATGCACTTTTTTTTTTTTAAATATTGTTTTATTACTATTGTGTTGTATTGTTACTGTATAATATGTTGTGTTTATGTTACCTCATCCCAACATGTAACTGCTGACGACCAGTGTTGCCATAGTTACTTTGAAATAGTACGAATACTTCTTTAAAAAGTAAGTTAGTTAAGTTACTGACTACTTGCTTTTAAAAGTAACTAAGTTAGATTACAAGTTACTTTATTGGTTACTATGAGCAGCTAATAAAGTAACCCCACCCCCTTCTTGAATACACTTTGTCGCCAACACAGAGTGAACAACGAACCTTTATGTTGCCATCCTCAGCTGAAATAAAATCGAAATAATGTTTGTATTTCCAGCTGCAAAAGTCGTACCTCTCTCCCTCCATTGTTTACATCTGACTCATGATGGAGCGGAGACGACGTAACATCATGGGAAATGTGTCACCAGAGACGATTTATACGATCTTTGGAGTCACATAACCCACGTCGCCAAAAAATTAAAATAAATAAATTACCTACGTCGCCCTGAAACGCAAAAATACTGTAGTAACGCAAAGTGTATTAGACAAGTAACTTAAATCTGACTACTGGTTTGGGAAAAGCACTGCGTTAGACGACTCGTTACTGGAAAAAGTTAGTCAGACTCACAAAAGACCCAACAATATCTATTTTGACAAGCTAAAGTTCCAAACTGAATGCACGTCTTTGCTAAATACGAGGAGAAGTTACAGGTAAGATCTGTGGAGAGGCAACTCTGCTTGGCAACAACAAAATTTAATTGAATAAAAGAAGGACAGAGTAGAGCACCTTCACGTTACATTTACACACATTTAGGTACATTTATTTATTTATTATTATATTTTCTAGGTTATTTTAGTTTTATTTTATTTTATTTTTTATTTTTCACAGCGTAGTCCCCCTTCCCCCTCTAGTCTACGATGCATGAAACGTCCACTACGAACAAAATGTAACTAGAAAGTAAGGATCATTTCAGGCAATCACTTTCAAGGGCTACGGAACATTAACTTCAGCAACACCGCAGGATAACAATAAGGACACCATTATTATATGTGCCTGGAGGTGGTAGCGTCATAAAAAAAATAGAATATATGCTGTTCTAGAGATATGTAAAAGTAAAATATTGATTGTTTTGTATGAGTCGAGTTGAGTGAAAATACAAAGAACAGAAATGTAGAGAGTAATCTTTCAAACAATGGTGCAAAGTCTTATTTCTACATGTTTTTTCATTATTTATTCATGTTTTCTGCAATAACGGGACGTGGTTAAGTCCTGAGTTAGTCCGGGGTTAGTCCTGGATTAGTCTGGAGTTAGTCCTGGTATAGTCCTGGTTTTGTCTGAGGTTAGTCCTGGTTTAAGCCTGGTTTAGTCCTGATATAGTCCTGGTTTTGTCTGGGGTTAGTCCTGGTTTAGTTTGGAGTTAGTCCTGAGAAAGTCCTGGTTTACTTCGGGGTTAGTCCTGGTTTAGTTCTGGGTTTGTTCTGAGAAAGTCCTGATTTACTCCGGGGTTAGTCCTGGTTGATTTGCCCTGGTCTATTTGGTTTAGTTTAAATTTTGTCCTAGTTTAGTCCTGGTTTAGTCCTACTTTAGTCCTGGTTAAGTTCAAATTTAGCCCTGATATTGTCCAGAATTAGTTCTGGTTGATTTGCCCTGTTCTACTTAGTCCTGGTTTTGTTCAAATTTGTCCTGGTTTATACCTGGTTTAGACTTGGTTTGGACCCATTTTAGACCCAGTTTAGTCCTAGTTAATGTCAAATTTAGTCCTGGTTTAGTCCTGAGTTAGTCCCGAGATAGTCCTGAGATAGTCCTGATTTAGTCCAGGGTTAGTCCTGGTTGATTTGCCCTGGTCTATTTAGACCTGGTTTACTCCTGAGTTAGTCCTGAATTAGTCCTGGTTTAGTCCAGGTTTAGTCCAAAGTTAGAGCTGATTTAGACCTAGTTTAGTTCTGATTTGCACTGGTATCATTTTGTCCCCTGTTCTGGAGGTAAAATTATTAAGTTTAGGCTCTATAATTAAAACTATTATTTATAAATACTGTATAAAATGAGCAGAAACTGAAATTTATGTCAAGTTTTAAAAGAAGCATTCTGTCTTCAGAGTTTGTATTGCAAACAACTCCAGGAATGTCAACATTTGAGAGAAGACTGAAACATGAACTGAAAAACTAATACAAGAATCCAGTGTATTTACCATGTGTTTAGTGTAATCCTCCAAACATGGGTGTAGTGATCGTTCTATACTTTTAGGGTTAATTTTATGTTCCATTCATGTTTTGTGCTATACTTAAACTTCAACCAAGACATTTATAATTACATTTTGGTACATTCCTGCATTGTTAAAGGTCCTATATTGCACACAATTATAAGCTTTAAATCGTATTATAATGTTGTTACCTCCTCAAAAACAGACCTGGAGTTGTGTTTTGTTTCATTCACACATGTTTAAGTAATCCTTCATTATTAGCATCTACCTTTTACCTTTAGATTGGCAATTCCAGGTCTGAAATGATAAAAATGATTCTATAAGCAGAGGCGGCGCTACCGTTAGGCAACAGTAGGCAGTAGTGTAGGGCCCCCGAACCTGGAGGGGCCCCCAAACAATTGCCCTCAGGCCGAGACCTCAGAGCAATTTGACTTTTTCTCATTATGACTTTAAATGAGAGTAGTTTACTTTTAAACAAGAAAACAGCTCAAGAACACACATCAAAATAGTATCCGGCTGTCAAATCTGTTTTAACTGTCAAAGCATCCTCTCTTTCACATTAGAATGGACTCGTCAGCTTGACCTTGATTTTAACATAATCATAGTATAATCAAAATCATATGTAATGGATCTAAACATAAATGTAATTGTGCTAGCAAAAAAATAAAACTACTTTCAGCTCTGGTTTTCTAGTGGACGACCAGACTAATAAGACGAGTTTCCAGTCCACCATAATTCAAATAAAGATGTGTGTGCCTCATAAACAATGGGAAAAATCAGACAATAAATGTATATATATATATATATTAAAAAAAAGTAGTATAGTGAGAGCCCCAAACTCAAGTTCACCTAGGGCCCCCAAATTCCTAACACCGCCACTGTTCTATAGTGAAGGTGTATTGAGTTTAAAAACACAGTGGAGCTCTTCCTGTATTACCGCGTGACATCACAAGGTGGAGCAGAGTTAGTTTTTTTTTTAGTTTGACAGAAGAACTCAGTATGCAGGGTTTGTGTGTGAGAAATGTGTGTGAACAAAACAAAACACGACTCCCGGTGTGTTTTTGACGAGGAAATATTATGACATAAATCAGAAAATATCGTAATATAGACCCTTTGAAATCGTCGCTGTAAATTGACATAC